TACGAGCGCGCGCGCGCGCGCACACACACACACACACACACACCACAGCTAATAAGCGGAAAGCCCCTGGGGAAACACAAACCAGATTCAATACCATGGGCCTCCATGGGTACATACACACGTACACACACACACACACACAGAGACAGAGAGAGAGAGAGAGAGAGAGAGAGAGAGAGAGAGAGAGCGCTAATAAGGGGAAAGCCCCTAAGGAAACAAACCAAAACCACAAAGACACTACTACTTCATACTCAATAAGACCACCCCAATCAGGGGGGGGGGGGGGAAACCAGTCTATATCAAGTGACTGGGAGCTGGGGGTGAAACCTTTGTGCACTGTTGGTGACACAGCCGCCTCAGAACATAACTTGGCAGCTTCTTGACTAGTTAGGACAACCCAGTGATCTGATCCCAGCATCTGCTGCAAAGGATGAGCACATCCCACAGACACACAGAGGATGCCTGTCACAGCATCACTCCTAACAGCAAGAGCTGGAGCCAGGTCAGAGTCCGTCATCCAATGAACACCAAGGCAGTGTAACCTAGCCACACAGCATGCTACTACTCAGCTAAGAAAAGAAACGAGATGCTAGCACAAGCGCAGCATGATCAAACCTCAAAAATGTCAAGCCAGTGGAAGAAGTCAGATGCAAAAGAATGTACAGTGTGATTCCATTTTAGGAAATTCCCAGAAATGGCAAATTTATAGGAATAAAGTGCCCATGGCAGGAGAAGCCTGCACACAGACACAGAGTACTTTTGAGGAGAGGAGAGTGTTCTAAATCTGGGCGATGACAAGTACATTCCAGAAATGAGGACCTGCGGCTGCTAAGCTGCAACACAACACGAGAGGAAGTGCCCTCAGCGTCATGGTGGACCTCACCTGGCCGGCCTGCCGTTCCCTTTGAAGTAATAAACAAAGAGCAGGACAAGCTGAGAAAGGAAGCGTAGACGGGACCCAGAACCAAGGAAAACCCCTAGAGGGTGGACAGGGCCCTTCAACAGAACCCCTGTGAAGGGCACAGGAGCTCCAGAATAGGGTCCTAAAAGAGATGAAAGAAAGATAAACCCAGCTCAAGAGCTCGGCCATAGTAATTTGGGGTCAGGCCTCTTAGGCTGCCCCCAAATCAGCCCAGCCAGTCCACTCCAAGATCAAGGCTGAGGCAGGCTTTGCTCCTATCTGCATGTGCCTGGCACTCTGTGGGTCTTCCCAGGGCAACTTTCTGAGTATAGCCCAAACCAGAGGCTCTCTAAAGTTGTCCTGGTGACTCCCTGCTTCTTCCAAAGGATGCTGCCATGGCCGGGGAGATGGCTCAGTGGGTAAAGGCATGTGCTAACAAGTCTAAGGACCAGAGTTCAATCCCTGGGACCCACATTGTAAAAGGAAAGAAGTGATTCCCTTCAAGTTGTCCTCTGACCGCCACATGCATGACACGGCATGAATGTGTGCGCACATGCATGTGCATACACACACGCGCACATACATATAAATGTTAGAGGGACATGATGCCAGCCCCATCCTCTTCTCCAGCCCCATTTGGTAGGACACACTAAGGGGGCAGCATCCAACCTGGGGAGGCACTGGCTAAACATTACATATTTTGTTCATGCCCTTACCACAAGAGCCCCAGGAGATGCAGACCACTTACATTGGAAGGTAGGAACTACTCAGGATCCTGGGAAACTGAGGCCCTCTGAATTCAAATCCAGAATAGGCCTGGACATATACATCCCTGATCTCCCACCAGATCATAAGAAAATCATGCAAGGCCAGGTGGTGGTGGTTCACACCTTTAATCCCAGTACTTGGGAGGCAGAGACAGACAAATCTCTATGAGTTTGAGGCCAGCCTGGTCCTACAAGAGCTAGTTCCAGTTGAGCTAGGACTGTTACACAGAGAAGACCTGCCTGGGGGAAAAAAAGGAGGAGGAAGAGGAGGAGGAGGAGGAAGAGGAAGAAGGACTAAGAGGAGGAGGAGAAAGAGGAAAAGGGAAGGGAGGAAGGAAGGAAGAAAAAAAGAAAGAAAGTCATGCAAAACTTGTCCTGGCCAGGTCAGCTCATGGCCAGTGCTATTACTGTAGCATTAACTTTACCCCATCTACGAGTTTCTATTTGCAGGTCCCTATTCCCTTTTCCTAAGCAAACAAACAATCACCTTTAAACATTCATTAAAAATGGCTAGGTGACCTGTAAGACCACAGGCTCCCACTGCTGGAAGGAGGCTGCCAGGAGTGGACCCCAGGAGAACAAGCTTAGTGATCAAACTGCAGAGCTCTCCCATCTAGCAGGCTGGACCTGTCCTTCCCTTTGACTGACCTCAGTCTGCCTCATGAGGACATCCTGCCACTTGCTATGTAGTCCATCGTGTTTTCTGTGGAAGGTAAAGCTGGAAAGAAAGCCCAAGCACTTGTTTCTAATCTGTCTCCTGTATGTCTCCATGACAGAGACAGCCTCGCTGATGGACAAGAGGTGTGCCTATGTGAAAAATGGCAGGACCAAGCGGGACAAAGTATCCCATCAAGCTATGAGCAAGCCCTGCTCATTCAGGGTGGGTCCTGAGGCTGCTGAGTACAGCTCCTGTATCAAAAGGAAACAGTGGACAGATGGGCTGGGTACAACAGAAGGATCTTGTAGGCTACAGGGAGGAGTGCAGGAAGCAGTACATGTATGTGTATGTGTGTGTATACAGGTTTCCCTGAAGACATTGAGAGTCCTTGTAATTAAAGGATTTTGGACACATCATGTTATTCAAGGATTTTGGTAGCACATTCAACTTCTATTTTATTTCTATTTAGTGTGTGTGTATGTGTGTGTGTGTGCCCTGTGTATACTCCCTCAGAGCTCTGAATGGCAGCCCTAGACTTCAAGGAGCTCAGTCAGGTACAGCCTGGACCTCAGAGCCTCTCACAATCAGTTAGCACAGGCTTTGTCCCTGACTCTGGAGACAGGATTTGTGCATTCTGTAAAACCCATTAGTAGTGATTTGAATGAAAATGGTCCCCATAGGTTCCTAGGGAGTGACACAGTTGGAGGAACTGTGACACCAGGGGTGGACTTTGAGGCACCTGCTCAAGCCAGGCCCGGTGCCACTCTCTGTCCCCACTGCCTGCAGTCTAGATGTTGAGCTCTCAGCGACCTCTCCAGCACCATGTCTGCCTCTGTGCACCACGCTTCCTGCCATGGTGACAGTGGACTAAGCCTCTGAACTGTAAGCCAGCCCCAATTAAATGTTTTCCTTTAGAAGAGTTGCTGTGGTCATGGTGTCTCTTCACAGCAATAGAAACACTAAGACACCATTTTACGGATATGAAAACAGTGATTCAGGGAGATGGATTAAACTATTATATGTAGATACGTCTTTTCAGGGCTGTACTCTGTATCCCACTGGGAAGGTGGCACCAGCTTTTTAGCCTTACTCAAATCTCATTCTTCCGACCCTCCCTCTTCTTCTCAACTCTCTCTCAGCCCTCTCTGCTAGTGCACACATAAACATACTCTTGCTGCTAACCCTCCCTGGAAACCAAAACAGTGCAAGAGCAAAAGCAGTTCTCATGATGTAATTCCTTAAGAGCGCACAGCAGCTGTTATCAGAACCACAGAACAGCCCCATGTCTTTCTCTGCTCATGGCAAGAGTCTGGCCTCGTGTGTGTGGGATCCTGGAGAGGGAAAGGACAAGCCCAGATGCAGCCTGGGCTCCTTCCAGGCGTTCAGAACGCTCCTCAACATTTGAGACTCAGGAAACCACAGGATGGCCTGAGATGAACAGGACGACACGCGGACACCATGGAGAAGGCAGAATAATCAGCTTTTCCTACACCAGTGGAGGATGTTTCAAAGAAAAAGCACACACCCAGGTATGCCCGACTACAAGAGTGTGATTTCTTCCAAATGTTGCAAATAAGTGCAAAAATGAATCCCAAAGAAGGTGGAAGAGCCACATGCAGGGGTGAACTGGGATGTGCTGTCTCAGTCACTGCACTGCAAACAGGCTCTGTGCTGGCTCAGGCAAAAAAGCTGTGTGGAAGACCAATGGGAGGGGCCTGAGGCTGCTCTACTTATACTCCTCCACCTGGAGCACTCTGGAGACAGAGGCAGGCAGACCTGAGTTCAAGGCTAGCCTAGATCTCTGAGTTCAAAGTCAGCCTGATCTAAGAGTGAGTTCCAGGACAGCCAGGGATACACAGAGAAATCCTGTCTCAAAGAGACAGACAGACAGACAGACAGACAGACACACACACACACACACACACACACACAGACACACACGGGGGGGGGGTCACAAGCATGGTTTCCAGAGAAACCAGGGCCACTATGGATGGCCAAGAGGCAGGGGAGGCCTTAGGATGCTCGGAGGCATTAAGAGAGTTTTAGGAACTGGAGCGAGAGTGAGATGAGTGAAGTCAGGCCAAGGTACCCCAGACACCCATAAGCCCTGGGAAGCCCGTGAAGAAGGCTCCCTTCTGCGTTAAGGACAAGGTGTCTAGAATCCAACGTCTGGTCCTTCTCCAACTCTATAAGGCTCTCACTCAATCCTGTACTTGATCTCAGTGATTCAAAGAACATCTGCCTTGGGACTAGGCCAATGATGTCACCTGAAGGAGAAGGATTACAATCTCTGCCCATCAAGTACAGAGATGCCTCTATGCATCTCTCTACCTAGGTATCTATGTAGCCAAGTCTCCTCCTGACACCCAAGCCACCCAAATGCCCCCAAACAGTCACCGCCCATGGCATCCCTGCCTCCATACAAGTAACCCATGACAAGTAACCCCTTGTCAGTGTAGCCCCTAAACCTACAAGGCATACAGTAAAGGGGTGCATTTTCCTACACACGAAGCCTAGGTGGGAGCCTCTTTAATCAGAGAGCCCTGAACTGGGGTGTCTGATGCTAGACTGGCTCACAATGAGGCTCTTGTTCTCATCAGCCACTCCTCCTTCTATGACCAAGTTCCTCTTCTAGAAACCACAAGGTCAGAGGTAGAATGGTGGATCTGGACACCCCGACTCTAAGGTCTCCTTGACAAACATCATGAGCACTGTCCTAGGGCCTCACAACAAGGACCTGGAGGAGGGGAAACTGTCTGCGGTAGGCAGACCAGCTGGCAAAGGCAGCAGAAAACTACCTGAGCGAAGGCTCCACAGGATATCTGTCACCTCTAACAGAGGCCGGGGCAGGGGCAACCGAGCCTACACTCCACAGGGCACCGCAGGGGTGAGAGGTGTGTGAAGGTCCACACGTGTCTGAGGACAGGTAACATTTTCACAGCACATGCCATAAATTGATTTTGCTTTCCAATGCATGAAACACACCCCTGTATCTGCTTTCTCCTTTCCAAACCTTGTTGAAAGAAACAGAGACTTAAAACACGTATGAAAATCGGTTTCAGCGCCAAAATACAGGGAAGGAAGACATGAATGGGCCAGGATCTCTTATGAAGCAAACAGGACTCCATCGAGGGGGCTGAGTGTTGGGCATCTGGTCTCAAGGTCATTTCCTTTCCACCACCAACAACCAGCTTGGAAACACAACAGCACAAAACAAAAAACCTAGACAAGACTGTTAAAGGTATATACAGAAATCATCTGAAGAAAATTATAAACTCTTAGTAAAAGGTTTTTTAAGGGCCTAAGATGACTCAGGGCAAAGGCTCCTGCCACCAAGCCTGATAACCTGAGTTTGGTCTCTGAGACACACAGTATAAGGAGACCTCTGTAAACTGTCTTTGATCTTCACACATATAGACACACTCATACACACACTCATATACATACTCACATACACACTCATATAGCACATATTCACACACATATACTTATGCACACATTCATATACACACATATATACACACTCACATACACATACATATACACATGCTCATACAATATGATAAATATACTTTTTAAAAAAGAGTTCTAGGGGCTGGAATGGCTCAGTGGCACTCGCTGCTCTTGCAGAAGACCCAGGTTCCACTCTCAGCATCCACATGGTGGCCAACAACCATCTGTAACTCAGTTCCAAAGGATCTGATTCCCTCTTCTGGCCTCCGTGAGCAGTGTATGCACACAGTACACGTATACACATTCATTCAGGCAAAACACTCATACACAGAAAATAAAATAAATAAATCTTTTTTTAAAAAAAGATTTAAAGACATTTCACTCCCCTGAAGACAATACCAAAAGCCAACAATTCTTCCCAATTAATCTACAAATAAGACAAATGCAACTTCACTCTAAATCCAAAGAGGATTCCTTTTAGAACTCAACAACTGATCCAAAAATTTTATCTGGAATAATAATTAAAAGTAGTTTGGAAGTTCTCAGGGAGAAAAGTGTGATAAGAACGCTGACCTGTCAGGAAGCCACAGCTGAGAAAAGGCTGCGAACAGAAGAGCATCAGAAAGAGGCCTGTGAACCAACTGTCTATTTTTAAATAGGTATAGAAAGCACTGGAGCAACACAACACCTAGCAGAGAGATGTAGTTGCACAATTGAAGGGTGGCTCACAGGATTAAAGAGACTCCAGGCCGGAAGACTGGGGCTCTGTGTGATAATTTGGCGCCACCTGGTGGCCAGCTGATTAAATGAACAGTGATATCCCAACAGTGTCAAGGAGGTCAGATTCACCAAGGTGAGCAATGGTATGAAACCATGTCTGCCTCTAGGTGGCAACAGCAAGGGACTAGGGTGTCAGAGTCAGGGTAGAATTTATCTAGCTGGCTTGAATTTTAGATAATAGGTGTATAATGATTTATTTCTTATTACAAATTAATTCATTTTAACTGACAATATTTGGTTGTTCTCACAGGACAGAAGTGGAGGAACAAGAGGGCTGGGCAGCACAGATCCAGAACTTAGGCCATTAGCAGTAAGTATGGTGGACCCCTGAAGGAGTGCCAGACCTCAGGACACAGAATGTGGGGCTGGGTCTGTAGGACTACCTGGAGTGAGACCCAAGAGCTTGGCTGCACACCTTCGTCCCCACCCTCAGTGACTCATGAACTTGGCTGCACCAATGGAGAGCCACCTACATCCTCATCCTCAGTGGCTCATGAGCTTCAAACTTTACTGATTGAAACGGTGCCACGGTGCCTTCTGAATAGCCCAACAGTGGCTGAGACACATCCTGGGGAACAGAAATAGACTGGTCACACTGAATTGCTATCCCCTCTGTGTGTGCCTCTGTTGAGAGCTGCCCCTCCCTTCTGAGTCAGCCATGAGCTCTGTCCCACAAGTTATCCTATCTCTGTACCATTAAGTGACAAGGCTCAAGAACTCAGCAATCCTAGGTTTGAATTCTGGATCTGTTGCTAAGAATTCTGCTATCTCTGAACTCCAGTTTTCTCTCTTTAAAATTGAGCTGCATTTTCATGCAGCCATGGTGAGAATCAAACAATTGGCCACCAAGAAGGCAGGGTGACAGGTCTTCTGTGCATCAAGTTCCTTCACCAATATCACCTCTGTGGAAAGTACAGGTCATGGCCTGACCAGGATGGTCCCAGCCTTGGCCCCAGCCCAGGGTGCTCTGGACAGTGGATGAACTACTACTCAGTCTACAACAGACAGAAGGGGCACTGTCAGTGTAAAACTAATGCTAAACCCCCACCATACCCCAGACCTTGGTTCTCCAGCTATAAGGCGAAGAATACCAAAACTCTGGGAGGAGCCAGTGCTCAGAAAGTCACCAGTGCCCAGCTCAGCTTGGAGGTGATACCTGGGATCAGGAAAGAATAACAGCTCAGTGAGTTCAGTGAAGCCAGATGGATGCTGGAGGAGCCTGGGCTCTCTAGTCAGTACACCCTTCCCCACAGGCTTCCAGAAGACAAATGCACCCAGCCAGGGAATTCTAGCAGCTGTTCCATGGCAATAGTCCAGCTGAAGATTGTGCCATCCTTGCATCCTGCACACTAGCAAGAGCTAGCACGGAGGTGCTGCCAGGGAAGGATCCTCCCAGGGGAGCTTCAACAGCTATGGCCACTGAAGACCATGGGGTCCAAGAAAGGGAGCAGACTTGAGGTACCAAACCGCTGAGAATCACAGACCCTGCAGGACATGTCCTATGTTAGAATTGCCTCCTCAACCAACTCTCCTGGCCCTAACCCTTGGCAATGGCTCCACTGTTTATGCAGACTTCCAAAACGTACACAGACTGTGGGAGCCACCAGGCTTCTCAAGATGCTTCCTAAGAAAGCCTCCCTTAGAGCAGTGACTTGTTTGCAGGATGAATGGACAGAACACACAGGAACTTTATAGAAGATGCTGAAAGTTGTCTGCAACTGAACAGTACAGCTTTAGGGGTTAAAATATTAAGTCAGTGAAAGAACTGAAAATAGTGGAAAATCTGAGGAAGAAATACCTCAACACCCAAGGCTGTAATAGAAAGAGATGGAAATGGTGAATTATTGTGTGAACTGCCTGGATGCCTCCAACAGGAGTGGCACAAAAGATCAATAGGTGAAAATTTGACCACATTACACAACGGCACAGCTTGGTTCTTCAGAGTGGTGGAGTGGCTGTGCACACACTAAGACCAGTGCTTAGATCCCTAAATCCCAAGAAGAGGAGAGTTTCTTCTTGGTAGGAATAAAGAAGAGGGTTTTGCTTTCCTGGGTGCTGTAACTACAGAGTGCAAGGCAGAGGCCACACCTGCCACACACAGCCAACATTTGCCCAGTTGTCCTTCCAGAAGAAAGCCACTTTATCAAGGGAGAGGGACACCAGGACTTTGGTACCTGAAGCCAATGGTGGGGCGGAATGTGGCTGAGAAAGGGAAGAGTGCCTGGAGCTCAGTCTGCAGCACTGCCTAGCGCAGCTCTGAGCTAGAAATTGTTAATTTGTTACAAGTTTCTTAAAGCACCAGAGACCTGCTATAAAGGAGATAAAAACAGGCTCAAGAGAAAAGTTGTAACACACCCTGAAAAACTTAAGGATTTGAAATGAGGGATGAGGGAGGGGGAAAGGGTGTTTCATCTCTAGCACCCTCACCACAGGCAAGGGAAACATGGAGCAAAGTTCTTTCTGTTACAGAAAGAGGGCTAAAGGCTCAGCTGTGTTTGCTGGGGATGACAGCTGTATTGTATATAATAATTCAGGCCTGGGCTTCGCACATGGGCTAGGTTTCCCCTATGTGGCAGTGGCTGAAACTCTGAGTTAATGCTATCACATAGAGAAGTAGAGAGCCGGGGTTGGCCATGGCTGAAAGGGAGTGTGATTAGCCTGTTTCATACCCTGTGTGGGGCCTTGCAGCCATGGTCTTTGTTTATCTGGTTTACTAGGTTTGACTGTTTTTTCAGTTAAAACAGGAAGTTCATTTTTATTAAGAAAATTTAGTATCACCATTTCTGTCATTTGCTGCTTCTTTGAGATTGTATTTATAAACATGTTTAAATGGAGGATGTGAGATAAAGGACGGAGCACACTGCCCCCTGATGGCCCCTTCCGTCTCTAGGCATCCCATTGCTCCTACATCTGAGCCAAGCTCCACTCTGCTGCCCAATGAGCCTCAGTCAGATGTGGGGACATTGAGTTTTCTCAGAACAGAGTTCTGGATAACTAAAGCTGTTAGGATAGGGCTTTGGATGGTGCCTGAGTGACCCTCTTCTGGATATCCTGGAGGGGTGGCCAAGGATGTGGCCAGGCTGTGACCCAATCCAGTGAGGAAGCAGACACACAGTTCATGACATAATTTGATGAGTGCTATAGAGAAATCTGGATACAGTGTCAGCCTGGAAAAGGACACACAGTGGAGACAGGAGGGGTCCAAAAGGAATAAGTGAAGAACCACAGCAGGAATAGTTGAGGGTGGCACTGAGGGGAAAGAGCCAGGCCTCTCCGCCAAGGCCCCACCATATGCCAGCTCTGCTCATAGCTGGGTCACTGTTTTCTCTTTGCTCACAATAGTATCCTTAGCGCGTGTTCAGGTGGGCCCACATTGGTAAGTTGACAGCCTGTGACCTTACTAGGGATGTACATGAGCCCAAATGCCCTAGGTTGGCAAGGCTGGGCAGTCCCTTCCAGCATGCAGGCAAATGGGCAGCTACAGCAACTCCCAAAATGCTAATGATACTCAGCAGCAAACAGCATGGAGGAACCATGTTCAGAGCCAGGCTGACCAGGGCTAAACACACTATGTCACTTGCTTGCTGTGTGGCTTCTAAAAAATCCTCAGCTGAAGTCCACTCTCCTTCCTGCCCCTCACTGTAAACCAAGAGATCTTTCCAGCAGCCTCCTTGGCAAAGCAACTCCACACAGGCGGGTGCATTTTAGGGAACCTGCTTAAGTGCTTATGTGCTGGGTCAATTCTCCACATCTGGCCACATAGCTTTACCTCTGGTCCTCGGGAGCAGAACTGACAAGGGATGAAGCTGTCAGAAGAACCTGGAAAATGCTGTCCCAGCATGGCCTTTAACACTTTGTTGGCTGTTCCTAATTAAACAGAATCTTGGCACTACTTCAGGAATATACTCTGCCTCTTACCACACTCTTTCCTTCCTTCAAAGTCATGGCCACAAGGGGAAGAAGTTGGGAACCCATGTCAGTTCAGTGACATTTATTAAGGTGCTCCTGTGCAAGAGACTTTGAGCAAGACACAGGCCTGCCTTCAAGGAACTAGGGTCTAGGCAGAGTACACTGAAAGATAAAAATACAAAGCAGGGCATAATGCAAAGTGTAGCCAGGGCCATGAGATGAGGTTCAACAAGCACCATGAATGTTTAAAGGAAAGAGTGGTCATGAACTGGGGTGGACAGAATCTCGAGCAAGTGTGACTGGCTGTGAGAGGAGTGGAGAGGGGGTGACCAGCACACTGCAGTCCCTAGGAGACAACAGTCACATCCACTCATTTTCAACTCCACGTAACCCATCACTGTAACTCACAGTGACTTCAGCTGGCCCTCTCTAGCCGAGAGTCCACGGCAGAAACAACTCAGGGTGAAGAAAGGAGCTGAGCTGGACAGCGAGGCCATCTGTGGTGAGTCTGCACTCCTGACTGGAGAGCAGAAAGGGCACTGAGTAGACAGTAACAGGACAAAAGCATGGCAGCCAGCAGAGTGGTCACAAGTATGCGCCAGGAGGGAGCAGAGACAGAATAACACCCCAACATGAGAACCAGAGGAAACTCCACAGCTTCATCTGGGAAGAAGGGGTTTGTGCCAATCAACATTCTGTCATCATAAGACAAAAAATAAGGTGACAGATTTACAAAGAGAAAATAACTGGCTCATAGTTCTGCAGGTTTCATTCCAGATCAAGTGAGGGCAGAATGTCACTAAGGGACCATTAAATTAGGGCAAACTACTCTCCTCATGAGCAAGGAAGCAGAGCCAAAGAGAAGGTAAAATGTAAGGTACCACAATCTTCATCTAGGGCAAACCTCCTGCTATGCCCTGACCTCTAATGGTCCCACTACCACCTTCAAACAGGATCATCCTAAGGACCAACCCTTTTAACAGTGGTGTCTGTAGGGCCCTCATGGATAGCAAAGCTCTAGCACCACTGTGAACATGCTTACCAAGGATGCCTGATGTTCCCTCAGCATACCAGCCCACTAACTACAGCCCTGCTGGCTTACCTGTACCAGGAAACACCTGCTCAAGGAGAGGGGCTCTGTGACCCCTGAGTAGCAGGCCACACCACCCCATCCACTCTCCTTGCAGAGTGCTGCTGTGGAAAGCTCATGTCCCATGGGTTGTCAATTGCTTTTCCAAGCCCATCCATCTCAGAACAAATCAAAGCTTTGAGATCTGGCTTCAACCTGGTCTTTGAAATGTTATATGCACTACCCATGGATCAATATCTGATATTACCATTAGCTTATCAGATAGCAATGCCCATCCTAAAATCATAGGCATTGATCCTCTATGGCCACTGCTTTCTTTTCCTACCTCACCTAGGATGCAGGATTGACCTGGGGAATTGGCCTCAAAGAAAAACACTGGAAAATGCATCAGGTGGGTCAAAACCAGATCAGAGTCCAAAGGCTCTACCCAGCAAGGAAGGCGCTCCAGAGTCCAAGGGTAGAACAAAGCTTTAGCCCCACAGTGTGAGGCTGTCTGAAGGGAGCAGGGGCAGGGCTTGGAGTGCAAGGTGACAAGGCAGCCCATGAGCCATCTCACTACAAACAGTGCCAGCAGGTGTGGCTATTCTTGTTTATTTCTACCCTCCCCCAGAACTACTCTAAAGTGCCCTCTCTCTGCTCCCTACACCTCACACCTCACTCCACCCCTGTTCACTCCAGGTGGGTAGCTCACTTGTCTCCCTCAGCTCTCTTCCTCCCAACTCAGAGTAGGGTCTTTGTCTAAAGCCCAGGACCCACCCAGGGCCTAGGGTCCTGAGCGCTCAGGCATCCAGCCCCTTGCACACTCTCCACTCTGCTCTCCTGGTGACACCTCTCTCTATCTTGTCTACAAGAGCAGAGCAGCACAATCCTTGGACCCCAGCCTGCTTCTCGACCAGCTACCATGGCCTCCTCATTCCCTCTCCCAGCAACTCTCACCTAACCTTCTGAGGTAGCACTGGACCCCACAGCCTCAGCACCTCCTCATGACTAGGCTAGAGTCATAAAGCCCCTCTGCCTTAGGTCAGCTCTGGTAGGGTTCACAGCCCCAGGTCTAAGCACTTTCTCTAGCCTTGGCATTCCCCTTCTCTCCCAGTCCCTTGGCCTCTGTGGCCTCAGCTCACTGACTGCTCTGTGCAAACCAGAAGACCAGCTGCTAACCTCTCTCCTGCTTCCCACCACCCTCTCCTATCCCATAATCACGCATGCTTGTATACTAAGGACACCCACCCTGACGAAACACCACAGAACCCTTCATACACCCACTTGCCTGGTGGCCCCTTCTCACAGCCAGGCTGCCACACAGGGTGCCCCTTCTGTTATGACTCTAGTCTCAACTCATCTAACTTTCTCAACATTCACTATGGTCAGTTTATATTTTTTTAAAGCACTTCTATCATAAGTAAATATATTTTTAAATTAAACATATACTCTGAGGTATATACATTTTAAAGCATCTACATATATTGTAAAATGAATACAAATATAAGATTATAGAGATAAAGATATGAGTATGTTAAAATAACTGTACTTTATTTACTTCTAAAGTACTTAAATAATGAAAGCAATTTTCTTTTCTCTTTTTCCTTTTCTTTTTTTTTTTTTGTTTTTTGTTTTTTTTTTTTAAAGACAGGGTTTCTCTGTGTAACAGTCCCGGCTGTTCTAGAACTCACTCTGTAGACCAGACTGGCCTTGAACTCACTGAGATCGACCTGCCTCTGCCTTCCAAGTGCTTGGATTAAAGACATGTGTCACCACTGCCTGGCGAAAGCAATTTTCTTAATGTTTGTATAAACTTGTTCACAGAAGCGCAAGCATACATAATACTAAGGATAGACCTCAAGGAATTCTCACTTATAACCAGCAGCTGTGTGAAGATCATGACCCAGCTCTAAGAGGCACCCAGCACTGTGGTTTCTGTTAGCATGGATTCACCTTGTGTACTCCTAATCTGTCTACGGGGCACTGACCAGTGTCTATGTGGGAATGGACGTTGTAATTCACCCAGATTTTCCAGCTGCCCCTTCTGACTCTGCGTGTCGTCAGGGAACCACCATTCTACCAGGATCCTAATAGGATGTCTGTCCTCCTGTCACTGACAAAGTCTGGCCTTGCTTCCCATTTGGACAATTAGAGTCAGTGATGCTGAAAACATTGCGGAGCAAGGCTTCTGGGACACACCTGCCTGTCATTCCCTGTGTCAGTCTCAAAGCTGGCTTGGTGGAGCCAAGTCTCAAGTGGGGGGTGGAGCTTTAGCGACAATGCTGGTTTTCAAGGTGGCTAAGCCAGCTTACACTCCCACAGGCATGGATGGAAATTTGCCTGCTCCATGGTCTTGCCATCATTTCTCCTTCCTATTAGCTATTCCGGTGAAGAGGTGTTCACAGGATAAGCGTGCCAGTCACTGTAGAGAAGGGAACAGTGACAGTGCCTCTCAAATTTACAGACCTGAGGTGAGTACGAGACAAGTGTGATATGGTTGCCTATCTTCATAAAACCCTGAACAGAGGACACTAAAGCACTGTAGGAAAGGACACACAGGTCAATTCAAGTGCAAGAGGGATACACAGAAGAAAGTGGAGACTAATACACCCCAAGAGCTGAGAGCAAGATAGTGATGATCCTGTTGGTTTCTTACTTTTTCCACAACTAATATTTAATAAATAAAGATTTTAAAACAGAATTTATGGGACCTCAAACTCACTCTTTAAACTCTGGAGTTCAGTGGTTCTCAGCATAGTCCGTGAGGGCCTTGGTCATCACTGCTTGCCATTTACAGAACACTCTCATCACCATCCTCCAAAACCCCCCACCCACACACTAGTTAGCCCCTCGCCAGCCCTCCAGTCACTGACCCACCTTTTGTGTCTACTGCTCTGCCTCTTCTGGACACATCACACAAATGGATTCATGCAGTAACTGCCCTCCTTTTACCATGAATGTTTCACATCCACCCACACTACAGCACAAAGCAGTGTTAGTGTAACAATCTGCTGTATGCAGCTCAAGGGGCCCACACCCTGGACATTCTTCCATCCATTCATCAGTTGACAGGAATTTGGGGTGTCTTCGGTTCTATTACAGTGCAGCTAAGAACACCTGTCTCCTGGGTATACACTTCAGAGTGGAATGGCTGGGTCACAGGTAGCTCAGGATTCAACTGTCTGAATATCATCGTTGTGTTTTCCGAAGATGATGCACTGGAACAAAGGTGCCCATGAAACTGCCCCACAGGACAGCACCCCAGAGAACTTCCCTGAGAGCAGCTTGGGTAGGTGGCATACCTGTTCAGCACGACATGAAACAGAAGGCACATACCCAGACACACTAGATGGCTGGAAAGCGCTGCCAAACTTCAGCTCAGCTCTCGGAAGAGCATTCTCATGCAGGGGCTTTGCTTAGAACTGGGTCCTGCTCCTGCCTTAAATTTATCACATGATGTGTCATCTTCTTTCAATAACTATTTCATGTTCTATTTTACAATCACAGTCATGATTATTGACAAGTGGCTGAGGCCTGGAACGGCCTTGTTGTTGTTGTGCCAGTGCCTGTGACTTGGGGTCTGACGCACCTCCCAATCGCTGAGCATGCCTTCTATCAGATATTCCCCCAGGAGCAGTGTTAGTGTGGGTGGAGCAAAAGCTACACATAAAAGGTGGATACTGGAATATCTGAAGTGGTCCCTGTTACAATCAGATGTGAACCGAAACTCGGCTGGATAGCGAACACTCATTGGGCACTGCTCCACTGGGCCTAGGCAGCTCCACTGTGCATGAATTCTGTTGACAGGGTACAGGGTATTTTTCCTCTGAAGGGTTCTTTGGCAAGGCTGTAAATTGTGTCTGTCTTTGAAATTAAAATTTCACCTAGATATTACGGGTTCATTTTTGCTATTTTGTCTGGTTCACAGTCATCCCTTACAATCTGCAGACTCAGGTCTTTTTCTGGTTTTATAATTGAGGATTCTTTCTAATGCCCCATCCTGACCTCCAGCTTAGGCACTCTGGAGGACACACACTGATCCGTCTTGTCCAAGCCTCCCCTCAGTTTTCTTCCTCCTGTCCCAGGATGCTCAGCAACTTCTGACTTCTGACGCTGACGTGTGATGTACTTTCTAGTCTAGCAACCTTCAGTCAGTAAGTCCCTTCTCTTCTCAGCCTGTTGTCTTATCTCTCAGGGCATCTCTGACTTCCCCAAGAGAGCAACACAGATGATAGGATTCCTGCTCCAGTTTCATGGGCAAACTTCCTTACGGGCATCTTTGTGCATCTCTCTGGGGTTAGTTTTCCTACCTTTTCTATCTGTCCATTTTTTGTTTTCTGGATTGCTTATTTTGAGATAGGGTCTCACACTGTAGCTCACGTTGGCCTCAAATGTCTAAGGTTGGAATGCAGATGGAAATACTGGAGATCCAGCAACCATCTTAATCTTAGGCCATGAGATAGCCTCAGACTTAGAAAGTACTTAGGTCTCTGACCCAGCATGCTCCTTACCTACTTTGAGCCAATAACCTCCTAACTTTTCACACATGAAGAATAAATTTGTATCTTATTATGTCTTTATTCTCTTGCATTTCTTTGTTGTTGTTGTTTTTGCTTTATTTTTTGAGACAGGGTCTCTCTTTATAGCCTTGGTTGTCCTGGAACTCACTCTGTAGACCAGGCTGGCCTCAAATTAGAGATACAAATGCCTCTGCCTCCTGAGTGCTGGGATTAGAGACGTGCACCACCACTGCCTAGCTTCTCTTGCATTTCTAACACTTGTGGCCCAATCCAAAGAATAACAGTTAAATGAGAAAGTGCCTCACAATAGCTACAGTCATATGATGCTCAGCCTTCATTACCCACTTGACTGGATTTAGAATCCCACTCAGAAGTCTCTGAGGACATTTGCGGAGAGGTTTAAGTAACAAGGAAAGACTCTAAATGTGGGCAGCACTATCCATGTTCTGCAGTCTGGGGCTGAATAAACATGAACCAAAATTCACCTCTCTGCTTCCAGGTGGCAGACAAGGTCATGACTTCCAGCCACGGTGGACTATATCCTTTTCACTGTGAGCCAGTTCAAACCCCTCCTTCCTTAGGTGCCCCCACTCAGGCATTTTGTTACAGCGATGAGAAAAGGTAACCAATTCAATGATCTCTATTCTCCATCAACAAAGTCTCACACAATGTTTACACCTATCAGCCAAACACATTGAAAGAAACAAGAATCTGTACAAATGAAGGTGATTTCACTGCTTTAAAAAAATTAACATACTGGAGGTGGAAATTTCCATCAGTGGTGTGCTTGCCTAGCAATAGGTTCTGGATTCGGTACCTAGTACCAAAGGAAGAAATTCACATTTTAACCAACTCATTTGCCCAAATGAACAGCACCATTTTATCATGTTTTATAAAATATCCTATAGTCATGCTATATCTTTATCAACATTTAGAATATATGTTGTCATTGCTGTTTAAACGCTCTGGGAAGAACCAGAAACTGATTGATTTTAATCTATTTAATCTATTCATTCACTACCCATTGGCAAAGGTTACTCTGTAACAAGCACAGTTATAAAAATGAAGTTTTGGGGTAAAGGTAGGGAGTAATCCTAATCCCACCCACCATGTGTGCCAGCTCAGACACTGAGGGGGCAAGGGGTCACGGAAACATCTTGTCCTCATTCCCCAGGGGGGATGGAAATGTCTTCCCCTCTCCTTCACAGCCATTGTAGACCCACCACCAAGGTTTGGGGGTCTTGTGTGACTTCCTACCTTAGTTAATATTAACCACCATGCTCCCCGACTACACTCAACACTGTCTGTGCCTGTGAATCCGGTTTTCCTTCTCTTGTGTTCATGTTTACACAACTGAACTTGATGACACTGATTTCACACCTGTGTCCCACTAGTTAGTTTGATCCAGTGGAGCTATCTGAAAAGGTGTTCAGGTGATGGGAACACCATCACCATCATTTACTGAAGAATTACCCTGTAACAGACACCTCACTAGGCATCTTGTCCATATAACATACATACAATGACTGTCTAAGGCGGGTACTGCTATCGCAGACACTGAAGATGAACAAACAGCTGGTAGCCAGTTTATCCAAGCACCTGGGCTGCAGGAACAGAAAGATCAATCACAAATTCATGGTCAAGTTGGGCTACACATTAAAACCATTGATAAATATGAAATAAGGATTGGTGAGATGGCTAGGCAGGTAAAAGTGCACACTTGCTACATAACTCCGAGCTTGATCCCCAGATTCCACATGGAAGAAGAAAACAAGACTAAGCTGTCCTCCTCCACCTGTGTACCATGTACACACACACACACACACACACACACACACACCATAGAAAACTGACTCCCAAAGTTGTCCTCCTCCACCTGTATACTGGTAAACCATGTATACACACACACACACACACACACACACCATATACTTGCACACACAATAATAATAATAATGATAATAATAAATGTTAATTAAAAAATTAAAATCGCCAGGCAGTGGTGGCACACACCTTTAATTCCAGCACTCAGAAGGCAGAGGCAAGTGGATCTCTGAGTTCAAGGCTAGCCTGGTCTACAAGAGCTAGTTCCAGGATAAGTTCCAAAGCTACAAAGAATACTGTCTCGAAAAACATAAATAAATAAATAAATAAATAAATATAAATAAATCATTGGGATTGGGTATTTGGACAAAGGATTTGAGCTCAGCTCAGACTGACCCCAGGTTTGAACCACCCTCTGCCTTGTCTCTCAAGGACTGCCTGGTGCACGTGTTCCTGATCCCCTGCCTCACATGCCAGCCACTGTTTCCTTCTCAGCTCAATCAACATAGCCACTTTTCCTCTTCCTTAGGCAGCTGTCTCCCTCACATGTGCCTGCCCTGTCACTACTCTACCTGCAGCTTCCAGTACATGGGTCAGTGCCTCAGCTCCACCCAGCTCTCGGGTTCCTGGTCACAGACCAGCTTCCCACTGGCACATCAGCTACTCCTGTCAACTGGTTTCAGTCAGGGTCTCAAGCCTATTGAAACCTCTAATTTGACCAGTTCAATAGTCTCTAGCCCACAGCAGGCTGGGTAGACCTTGTGCACTCTGTGACACCTCAAGCCACATTAGTCCATCGGAATTCCTTAAATCCCTTCTCAGGTCCTCTTCCAACAGTTCTGGTGAGCAGCCTATCCTAGATCAAGATGCACACCCTTCCACTAGAACTGCAAATCCTTCTTGAACCCCAGAATGTTGGGCAGATTGGGGGGATGACACTCTTCCTGCTCTGGGGCCCGAGATTTCTTCCCATAGGGTCAGCAACAGAAGGTTTCAATAATTTCTTGAGGTTGTCTGAGACAACCTTCTCTTAGTCTTCACTCAGGGAAAATAAAGGTAAATTCTTTGGAAGTCAGGACATAACTGACTGATGAACACCACAGCATGAGAGAAGGAGACTCTCTTTTCATCATCTTTGTGATGTTGCCAACACAAAAGAGCCCAGTTCAGGGGCAGGAGAAAGACCCTGATGGAAGGAAGCAGGGACAGGTGCCTGCACCATAGTCTTCCTTCTTAGTTGACCATGCTTCCTCTTGCCTACTGCGGAGTTCCCACTCCTTCAGCCAATAGACTTTAAGATACCAGCCCACTTGGGTGTGGTCTCGTTTGCTTTAAAAAAAACAGCAGCAGCCGTATG